CTCAATTCTTATTCAAGTATCTCTTATACATTAATATTTCAGATCTCAAGATATTGAGATGAGTGTCTGCTTTATCATTCTTATCTGCATCTTATTTGAGAGTCTGCTTCTTCTTAATGTTTACAGAATTCAGAGAGTCATCTAATACAGATATCTCTTTCACTTTGAAGACTTTTTATAGAATATCAGTGAGTGTCTCTGAGCTCACTAATTCTGCTAGTTTTTTAACTCTCTTACTTCTCTTGACTGTGTATACTGAGTGTAATCTTTTACATCATGATTTTAACATCTGCAGTTAAAGCAAGCTCAATGCTCATAATATCAAGATTTTTACTTAGAGAATCTCTTTTTCAGAGAATTCAGTGCTTTAGTAATGATATTCAAATCTAGATTCATTGTATCTGAGTGTGTGACTTGTATTGTAGAAGTCTGATTATTTATTCTCTGTTAAGATATATTTAATTACAGTATTTTCTATTATAATTAACTCACTTATTTCTGTATAATGAGAATATTATATACTTTTTTCACTGTGTCTGACTGTGAGATTAAGCATTTTCATTTCACTCTTAACTCAGATGTAAGACTATGAATGAAGATCTGTAAATAGAAAGATGTTAGAAGCTCTTCATTCAACATAAGATAGTATAAACTGAAGTGTATAAAGTATAACATAAGATCACTTATTTATCTACACTCAGTGAAGTATTTATAATACTTATCTTATATATTTACTTTCTCAAAGTTGTATAAGATTCATTTGAAAAACTTATTTCATGTTTATAAAAATGAATATTACTTCAGATCTGTAAGATTTATCTTTTTATTAGTTATTTATAATGACTTTGCTTTTCTGTATAGAAATGCAGCAGATCTTAAGACTTATTAAAATTTTATTAACTATCTGTCTGTGAGTTTATATTTAATCTAATAATATGATTGTATCTGATTTAGTCAGCTGATTACAGCATTATTTTTTTAATTATTATTAAAGCTTAATAACTCTGACAGATCTTCTAACTTGATATATTTTATACTTAGATTCTTATTCTGTGCAGCAGTCTTTAATGATATGTATACTTCTGAAGAGATTATGAATGATTATAATAAGATCTTCAGATTCATTGTAGTTATCTGTTTATATAAATATTTAATCTTCTGCTACTGATCTAAGACCTAGTTTTCTCTATTCTTATTGATGATAATGATTGTCTTGATAAAGCTCTTTATAGTGAATACTTGATTCACAGCAAATATTAATTGTTATTTAACTTTCATCTCAGTCTGTCACTGTGTACACAAGATCTTAATCTCATTTAGAATTCTCATACACATACAGAGCTTTGATTCTGATTTGATAATTTTAACTGCTTTTCTTACTGCTTTAAGTAAACTCTCTGAGAGATTCTGCATATCTTCTGATTCAGATAGCAGAGAAGAGTATTATTCATATTAACTAGAAGAGATATTTATTTTAATAATTTCTTATTAATTATATAATATCTATTATTATATCACTATATCATTATATAATTTCTGTTATCATTATATAACTTCAGTGATAATCATTCTTTCTCTCTTTTTATTCTTCTTTTAAGTAGAGAGTGAACTTCTTTGAATCTGATTTACTGCTCTCATCTTCTTTCTCACATCTCATTCATTTGCATATGTGACATTTGTCTGAGTGTGAAGTTTTTCTTTAATAAGTAAAGTAGTATTAATCAGATGCTCTTCTACTCATCACTCTTTATATACTATCTTTTGAGACATTCTAGAATCACACTGACATGATAACTATGAATTACTTCATAGATGAAATTATCATGCCCTGAAGAAGCCTACACTTCTTACTGATTTTTAGACATGCTATCAGATGTAATTCAAAGGTTTCTTGCTCAGTGTACAATTACAGGCGTACACCGGCTTCTTATATATCATATACTAAATTAATTAGTGGCCGCTATGGCCCCTTTACATTCATAAGCAAGTTCAGAAGTGGCCGCGTTATTATCCGACGGTCGTACGTTCTTCCGAACCACACAGTCAATAAATATTTGATAAAAAGTTCAATAATATAAGTGAGATTATCTGCTATAAGACCTGCTGAATTGTCTGTGAAAATCTTTAATAGAAGAGAGTTAATTACTTAAGAATCTTTGCACTTATTATCTCTATATTCATCTCACAAGCTCTCATGACAATCTCAGTATCTCAGAGATGATATGTTCTGCAGATTGATATAATAACTGCTTTTTTAAATACTCAGCTATCTGCTGATGAATAAATATATATGAATTAATTCACAGAATTCTGTGAAGATTATAATAATCTTGTGTATAAGTTAATGTAGAGACTCTATAATCTTAAGCAAGCAGCACTCTTATAATATAAGAAGCTGTGAAAGATGCTATTACACTCTGACTTTCATATCAGTCTCTATGATACTGAACTATTTATTCATGATAAAAGACAGATCTATATAATTATTTATATAAATAATATTCATCTCTACAGCTTAAAGATTGATGATCTGAACTGAGTCAAAGTTAAAATCACTGCTAATTATAAGATCAAGAATGTAGAGAATTTCAATCACTATCTGAGAATGAAGATTAATAGAGATTTAACTTTATTAATATTATCTCAATCTCTCTTTATAAGAAATCTTCTGAAGAAGTTCTTAATGAATAACTGTCACTCTACATTCACTTCTATAGAGAAGAATATTGATTTTATGAATGATAATAAGAAATCAATTGTATACACAGTAGAATTTATTCTATAATTCTATCAATTCAGTATCAGATCTCTACAATATCTAACATTTAATACATATTCTAATATGAGCTTTATTACAGAATTTCTTGAACAATTCAGCTCTCAGTCTACATCAAAGAACTGAGCTGTATATAAGTATACACTTCAATATCTACAGAGTTTAATCAATGAAGATATAATCTATTACAGAGATGCTGAAATTGAATCTGTAACATATACAGATACTGATTGAGCTGATAGAGATTCAGAATCTCATTCAATCACCAGTTATATCATCTACATAATAGATGGCTTCATTGCATGACAGAGCTGCTGATAAACAGAGGTCTTTAAGTTATTAACAGAGGCTGAATATATTGCATTCTTTAAGACTGTATATAAGTAGACTGGCCGCCGGGACTATGAATTTCATGTTTGATCTCATTTGATCTGATCTCATACATTTCTTGGCGTGAATCCCACTGAGACTGGCTATCAAAAAAACATGTAAAGTGACTATATATCAGATCTTAAAATGAAATCATGACTTGAAAAAAATAAGAAAGTGGTCTCATTTGATTTCATTTAGTTTCATTCTTAACATAAAGTTACTATTTTTAGACATTTTAAGGTTTTTTTTAGACTATTTTTAATTTTTTAAAAAGTAACACTTTTTGATAACACTTAAATGAGATTTAAAGTCATTTAAAGCAATAAAAATAATTTAAATTGAGAAGTGGAAATCATGATCTCATTTGGAAAATGTGACAAGAGTAGACAGTAAGTCTCACTGAGACAGTATGAGACTACTATCTAATGTTAAAACCGTGTAATGGGATCAGTCGAATTGATAATGAGACTATCAAAAAATCTGGTCCTGGTCCCAGACATGGTCACACGGTCAGTCTATATATAAGCTTATCTATCTCTGAGAGCTTCTAGAGGATGCTGAATTCATCTCATCTCATCTCAACAATCTGAATACTGATGATCATCTCATTTTCATCACAGTTAATGATTTAACTTATACAATTTATACTGATAATAAGTTCATCATAGAGCTATTCTCTTCTGAAGCAATTTCATGCTGCTTGAAGTATATAGAGATCTATTTTCACATTCTTTAAGATCTTATCTGTAAGAATAAGATATCTATTTAATATATTTCATCTGCTGAGAATATGATGAATAAGCTTACTAAATCACTTAAAACATTGAAATATACACATTGAAAGGAGAATATGAAGATGAAGGAATAGAGGGATAAAAAATGATGTATATCATGACTGGTTTTTTCATTGCTACACATTTTCCAGTCATTTTTTGTACCTGTACTTGATTTGAAGGCGAATTTTGTATATAGCATCGTGTATAGTTACTCTGGTGAGTGGGGGTGTCAGGTCACATGACCTGGCTTACTAATCCTTCCACCATATAACTTTCCACAAGCTAGCCACCTTTCAATCACACAAGCTTTACACCTTCCACATCGACTGCATCATAGCGCCACAATAGATTGTTTCGCTTCATAACACACAGAAAGACTAGGCGCGAATCTTTGTCTAATACTCTCTATTATCTTATTCTCGCCTTCAACATTCAATTGCCCGTTGGGGTCTGCTATTCTCATGATTGAAGAAGGATAAATTGCAAAGTTAGTGTAGCAAATGTCTGCAAGTATGAAAGACTGCGTACAGATTCAAATGAAACACATTAGAAGAAGTCATGGGGAAAGCACACTGACTAAGTGTGATCCAGCGTGGACCTTGTTTGCCTAATTATGCCAAGACTGAATCATGTGAGTTATCTTGATTGTGCATGATTCATGAGAGCCGAGACGCCAGAAATGCATCCAACATAGGTATACAAGTAGCCCCAATTAGGCAGCCCAGAATTTATCTCAAAGGTTAAAAAATTCCTTATATTACTTTCAACCACGTGGTCAAATTAATACTTTATTTGCAAACCTCTTTATAAGTTTTCGGTTGCCTTGTCGAATGCTTGGATAATCGGGTCATACAGTAATTCGGTCCGTACCGGTGTCCCAAAAAATATGTTATCCTTATGAATAGGAAATAAAATTTGCCGTAGCTCCCTGCATAGCAGTTTAAAAATTTCAAACTTGGGCGGAAACTCCAAAAAAATCTCTTCAAAACCGCTGGCACCTATACGACCTCGTTTTGCGTTCGCGATCTGACCGTAACTCCCTGTGTACCACTCCCTTTGTCGTCTTTACCCCCTACCTAAACCGTCTCATGATAGTAGTAGCGCGCAATATTGACCACCCCCTTCTCCGTGGCTTCGCGCAGTAACTCCCCCTCCTTGTCGCGTTCCGGGTGCTGCCATGACTCTTTAACCACAAGGGGTGTTCGGGATTCATCTCCGTCGCAATGCGTCTTCCAGCATATCGTCCCTCGTCTAGAAACGCAGGCCGCGCGCCTGACTACCTCGTCAATTATCAGACGCTCCTCCCTGCCATCTAGCTTTATCCTGATGTAGCGTGCGCCGTCGGTAGTGATAACCTGTCGGATCGAACCCGAGTTGCTTCTTATTTATTAGTAGGTACCCGAGGATGGTCGAGACAAATTGAAGGCCTCCTCGTTGATATCGAACCGCTCCGACGCGACCCCGCCCAGACGGTCGAAGTGCCACAGCCTCATACGTGGCCCGCAGAGCGTGAAACCGGGTACGAAAGTGATCTAATGCAGAAGTCAAGCTGGTGTACTTGCCACCCTACTAGCCGGATCTAAATCCTATTGAAGAATTCTTCGCTGAGTTGAAGGCTTTATTACACGGAAGTGGCAAACCTATAAGGATGGTCCTAACCAAGGTTTTGACACATTCTTGGAATGGTGTGTTGATGTTGTGGGTGCAAGGAAGAAAAGTGTAAAAGGCCATTTTCGGCATTCCGGCCTAACAATTGAAGAGATATAACTTTAGCAATTAATCGTGATAGGAGAAGAGATCGATTTTTACTCTACTATACTTAAAGACAGGCTCTAATGTGTTTTTTCTACAAGACAGTCTGCTTGAAAGAGATCCAGTATAAAGATTATAGAGGAAAGAATAGTAGGATATATTTTTGACATTTTCATGCTTAGGCGTACTGCTTAGCCGGACGATATTGGTTAGGGCGGGATCCTAATTAGAGTAGGCAAGAAAAGTTCACCGGGAGAATAGATCGCGGAGAGTATTTGACACGTACTCCATTCCAAAAGTAGTAAGGAGAGAAGTCGGCACTATCATATCTCCCTACATGTGCCTTTGGACACATCACATTCACTCCATGACACACAGCCTATGTAGGTAGTAGCAAAATCTCTGAAAATTGCCTCACTACTCTGTCTCTGGCTCAAGAGACGGCTCGTGGATAATTCCAAGCGACAATTCCGTCTTCTCAAAGAGAAGGTGAAGGTAATGCAGGCTGTAACCTCTGAAGAGCCTGTACGGTTCATTGACCCAGCGCTCAATCTCTCGCCAAAGAACTAAAAGATCTTTTCTCTCCTGTGTAAAGACCCGATAGTTGAGCAAGTACTCCTGTCCAGCCTTTTTTAGGTAGTCATATGCCGACTGCTGCAGATATAGGGATTTTGACACTTTCGAGCCCGACCAGTCTGATATGAGCGGGGTGTAGACGATCAAGATGGGCTTGACCAGAAAGCGCCAGAGCAGCTGCTCCTGCCAGAAGCCAGCATAGTCGCTACCACAGATCTCGATGTAGTTGTACGACGCGCGCTCGTGGTAGAGACCGATGACAAGGTTGAAAAGCTGGCAGTTGAACTGGAATTTGTGGGCGTCGGTTTCCACGCTGTACGCGAATCGGCCATGCTGTGGGCATTTGAAGGAGACAGTCGACCCATCTTGGGAATAGATATTGTTCAGACCGTATTTATCGACGAGGCCGCATTCAGGACATGCAGCGCGGAGGCGAGACTCCCTGTAGCTGGTGCTAAAAATTGGCCGAGGTATTCACGATCCTTTATAATGTTCTTGATGACGCCGCAGACACCGTCGCTCTTCAAAAACTCTTCCTCTAGGCGGATCCGATATGCAATTCCGTATCTCTCAGAAAGTGTTGCAAGGAGCTCCTTGTAGTCCGGAAGGTACTCCTGAAACTTCCCAGTGTCCCGGAGACTTCGCTGGTAGGTGATATTACTAATGACCATTTGATCTCCCTTTGCTCTGTCCCATAGGTCGCACACAACCATAACTTCAGTTCCGATATCTCTCATACCCATAGCCACAACAAACGCCAGCCCTAGGCTACATAATGTTCCGACATGCGGCGAAGAGTTGGGTGGAATAATGATGTTGATTTCAGTGTGAGCTTCGGGGTGAGGAAGTAATGACCTCAGATAACCGGGATAGTCGCTTTTGAAGACGTAAGAACCGCCACCCAAGGCATGATGGGAGGCCATATCGTAGGCAATTTGCATCTTCTGGTGGACTTCCATGGCGCTTAGAATAGGGGGCTAGGAATAGTAGCGGTAGCGGTAGCTTGGTAACTAGATTCAGTTCACTGAAGTGGATAAAATAGAAGAGAGGAAGATTCAAAACAGGATTATAAAATTTATAAGTGATTCCCAAGAGAAGACACCGGGAGGGGCCAGAAGCTCTCACTGCGGTGCAGTCAGCATATCAGCTGGGACCAGCCTGTGCCAAGCAAGAGAAACTAACATGTCCCAAGCGTTACCCTGCTGGCAGAGCCATGCATTAATGAGTTACAGGGACATCACATCTTATTGACACTGTGACTGGAGGTTTGCAGGAAACAACAGACAGGTCAAGTCGATCTTGGCATGGTGAACCGGAGACGAATCACGTCTCTAGTTATTGGTTAGTTTGACCCGGCCCGCCCGGCCCGCCCGGCCCGATGCACGTGCGGCTTAAGCCACAACAAACAAGCGCGTCGCTAAAAGTCTCCCTTACCATTCCGCGCTCCATTTCCTCCACCCTTCCCAGCCAGTCGAACCTGCTCAGCTTTTTAGGCTCCACGTCAAGCTGAAGACCCCTTCTCACCTTCCTCATCTTTGCATACCTACCTTTGCTGCAGACGCCAATAGGACTCCTTGATGCCACGCACGAAAAAGGCTTTGGGCGAACGCCCAATTTCCAGCGATGCCATTTTACCGATGCAAGACCCTTACATGACCCAGATTACCGATGGGAGGAAAAATTATGAGTTCAGGAAATATTGCCTCAAACCTTGTGTGAAAAGAATCTGGTTCTATCGAACAGCTCCGCACTCTAGCATTACCCACGTCTGCGAGACTCTGCCCGCGCGGACACGAAATCCCGAAGATCTTCCGCTAGACGAGGACGGCCTGGGCAATATCGAATTTAATACTAGGCATAAGGACTGGGAGGGCTACGACTTCGCCTACGAGATGGTCACCGTCTACGAGCTTAGGCAGCCGATATCCCTCAAGGAGATGAAGGAAAAGCATGGTTTCAAGTCGGCACCCAGGGGACTTGTCTACCTACAAAAGTCGATCAGTAACAGTGTTAACTGGAAGCAACAGAAGCTCGTAAGGAATTTGATCTTGAGCCTTCACTTGAGCCTTGGCTAACATAAATGCAGTTAATCAATCGAAGGAAGCAAACGTCGGAGGCTTAAGATATATTGTGGGAACTCAGAAGGGTCAGACACTATTCTGACTACCTGTCCAGACGCTATCAAGTCAAAAGTCGACGCTATGCAGTCGGTTAAGATTATAACAATTTAACGGGCTTTACTCGCTCTGTGTAGCATATACTTCTTTTCCAGTTCGTTCTTCATTCCATCGGTCAATAGAGCCGGATAGAACCGGACTTATGCCAACTTCCGGTAGCTAAAACATCAGCCCAAACTGAACCTAGCTTCACCTGAGCGCTAGGGCAATAACGCACAATATAGAGATTGTAGCATAGGCATTCTGAGCAAGACACTGCGTAAAGTCATGGCGTCATTATCTTTATTGGTCCGGCGAGCGCTACGGGATAAGTCTGTCCCGAGGCCCTTGTAAGTAACTAGCCCGTTTAAGCTTCTAGGTATGTCTACTTATTGACAGGGAATAAGGCATCAATTAGCTTATTATACCAATGAGACGGAAGCGAACAAGGCATGTAACCGTGCCATGCTTACTCACTCTCTGTAGTGAGTGCACCACAGTGTACAGAAAACCACACTGTACAGAAAATATTTTCAATATCTTCATTCTTCATCTTCAAATAATCATTATTAATTATAATCATGTCTAAATCTTCTAATTACACTGAGAAGCAGTTGCAAAGAGCTGTTGATATATATAAAAGCAATTTAAAATTAAAAATCATGTCTCTGTTATGAGAATTCACAGTCTTATATATCATCTTATATAAGAGAATCAACAGAAAGAAATTAAGAACTATGAGAATTTCACTGAATTAAGCATTGAATAACAGTCAGAAAGAGATAATTAAGATATAAATTCATCAGTTAAATATTAATTTTTACTCACTTATCATTGAGTAGACTGACTGCTAAGACTATGAATTTCACATTTAATTTCATTTGATCTGATCTCATACATTTCTTGACATGAATCTCACTGAGACTAGTCATTAAAAAAATATGTAAAGTAATCATATATAAGATCTTAAAATGAAATCATGACTTGAAAAAAATGAGAAAGTGATCTTATTTAGTCTCATTTAGTTTCATTCTTGACATAAAGTTACTATTTTTAGACATTTTGAGGTTTTTTTTAAACTATTTTTAATTTTTTAAAAAGTAATGCTTTTTAATAATACTCAAATGAGATTTAAAGTCATTTAAAGCAATAAAAATAATTTAAATTAAGAAGTAAAAATCATGATCTCATTTGAAAAATGTGATAAGAGTAGACAGTAAGTCTCACTGAGACAGTATGAGACTACTATTAAATGTTAAAACTATGTAATGAGATCAGTTAAATTAATAATGAGACTATTAAAAAATCTGATTCTGGTCTCAGACACGGTCACACAGTCAGTCTATCATTGAGTATATTGAAGCTGCTATGAACTGCATGTTAAAATAGTATTATACAGATTCAGAGACTGCATCTCTCATAGTAAGTAGAATATGAATATATTAATTTATCAAATGTCTGTCAGATTATAAATGAGTTAAGTAAAAATTCATGAATTTAAAATAAGTATTTTACAAGAATATAAGCTTTATTATCAATTGATATTAATTAATATAAAGTTGTTTTTAATTAATATCAATTTTTTTACTGTGATATCTACAACTTTGATAAGATTGAATTTTAAGAAGAAGAAGAATATAGATAGTGAGTTATAACTATTTTTAGAGATACAAATTCTGTTATACAGTTATTATACTCTTACAAGTTAATAACTATGATAAAGTATATTAGTGTAGATAATATAGTATTGAATTTATTAATTATAATAAAATCAAAGATTTATCTAAAGAATTAATATATATACTTTAACTTATCCGATAACTATACTATCACTGTATTTAAGTCTGACTTTATAAAAAATGAGATTGAATTTGAATGAATCAAGCAGTTTAATAAGATGATAAAAAAGTGTTAAATAAGCAGTTATTAACTACTATTAATGAATAATTATGATTCTCATTTTATAGATGAATTCATTCAATACTATAATCTTTATAAGATTATTCTGTTCAGATTCTTATCTTATATAAGTGTCAGAATGAGTGTCACGGATGAATATATTAAAGACATATGAATCTTATGTATATTAAGATTTACTTGTTATATTATCTGTATACTATCTAATATATCTATTTCATACAAAAGATAGAGCTATTTGTAGTAAAATATATGTGCGAGTTAAGAGAGCTAGTATAAGTGAGTATTAGACAAGTGTTGTAGTAAGCTGATAATAATGAGAAATATTATAGTAATATAATATTAATGATATTTAGTAGTATATAATCTCTTTTTTCTGACACACCTTCTTCAGTGACTGTAACATGTAAATGAAAGTGTAAATGAAAGTGTAAATGAAGCTGTAATAAAAAGAGTGTAGATGAATCTATAGAGATTATATTAAAATAAATTCTTTATTCTGCTTATGTCTCAATGATATCTGATATATTAACTAGACCTAGTATCTTGACAAATTCTGTATGTTTCTGACATGGCAGAGTCTTAGTGAGGTTATTCACTAGCATCTGAGTCATAGGCACTCAATCAACTATAATATCACTGAATTGAACACATTCTCAGAGTCAGCTTTCATATATATCAATGTGACAGAGCTTTATAATTATAGAGAGATCTTTCTTTGTAAGAATGTTAACAGTTTAACAGTTATCACATTAGATACAGATCTTGTGATCAGGTTTAAATTAAATATGTTGAAAGAATCTATCTCATCAGATAGACTTCTTACCAGCTTGTAAGATAGTAATAAGCTCAGCTTCTGTGATAGATGTAGTTATAATTATCTATCTATTTGATTTTCAATCAACAGTCTCACTGAATAGTTTGAGGATATATTCTTGTATAGAGCAGTGATTCAGATTATCTGTGAAGAAGACATCACTGACAGCTTTAATAATATCAGATTTGAGATCAAGTTGTAGAGATCTGTCAATGTTATCATCATATTAAATAGTGAGATTCTTCATATTATATAGATAAGATATCATTCTATTCATCTCTGATAAGTAATGTTCTGATGAATTCATCATGAATGTAGCTAGTTTATTCACTGTATATACAATATCAGAGTGAGTCATTATTACTGAGTAGATACAGAAGTCAATATATTGTTAATAATAATGAATTTTTGTGAATATAACTGGCTTGTTAAAAGGCTCTAATGAAGCATTAGTTAGTGAGATATATGTCTTACAGATATGTGTGAGATGATATGTATCAACTATCTTATCAATATAGATATTCTGACATAGTCAGAGCTTCAAGTTGAGGCAATCGCGTATTATTTGCATGTTAAGAAATCATTTCAAATCTCTTATCTGTTGAATCTTATAGGCATTTTTAAGATCTTTGATTAGTTAATCTCTTTCTTTCAAATCTTCTCATCACAATAGAATGACAATATTATTCATATAGAAGAAGATAATTAATTAATCATTAGAGAAGAGACATCAATTCTCTGATATAGAGATGAAGTCTAGTGTTCTCAATGTTGAAGATAGTTCATTTAATCAGAGAAGAAGTGATCTGTGTATTATTATTATTATTATTATTATTATTCTTTCATTATACTCATATGCAAGCAGAGCTTATGATGAGTCCTTGCGTGATGTTAAATACAGGTCAAGTGTTGGTTATACAGGAGGAAATACAGGTGTTGAGACCACGCCAAGATAACAAGAACATAGGAAAATACAAAGGAGTGACAATTAGATACATGCGATAATAACTTCCCAGCCCAGGAACATAGAGCAATTCATTGAAGCGATTTGTACACCTCTGTATTTATTAGGAACCTGAGGTGCTTGAGTTCCGGATTTAATGTATTCCCTGCGGGTTTCGAACCCACGCGCCTTGGTTTCCCACGCCAAGGTGCTACCGGGTGGCCGTATTAACCATTCAGCCACCGGGGCAAGTGATCTGTGTAATTTATATAGTGCTTATAGAAGTTTTAGTACATGATTTATATACTTTCAATTTTATACTCTCTTCAACTTTTATCATTCATCAGATAGTTTCATATATACTAGCTCATTAATATCACTATTAATGAAGACATTGATTTCATCTAGCTGTTTCACATCTAGATCAAATGCTGCTGTTAAAGCTAACAAGATTCAGAGATCTCTGACAGCTAGTATGTGAGCTTTTATAGTGAGATCTGTGATTAATTGAAGATCTTTGTATATACAGATACAAGCTTTGTATTTCAAAAGAAAATCTTCATCATCAAATTTGTAGATAAATACTTATTATAGAGAAATAACTAGAACATCTCTCTGTGATCTACTAGTAATTTCATATATATTCTGCAGAGATATACTATTTCATTCCTGCTTAACAGTGTTCTCAAATTCTTTGTAATATGAGTGTTTTTCAACATCTGTTTAGTGATTCAGTGAATCTGACAGTTGAAATCTATGAATTCTTGAAGTCAGTATGAATACTGTTGATGTAGCTGTATTATTAATAACAGTAAAAACAGTATTAGAAAATAAATTTTAAGACTTGTTGAAGTCTGTATGTGAATTTGAATGAGAGAATGCATCATTGATCATTTGATAAGAATTGTCTTTGACATTTTCAACTGTCACAAAATGAGCAGCTCTGTGTTTTTGTATTCTGCAGTCTTCAATGATATTAGCTTCATTAAAATCAGCACTGATATTATGAGCTCTAGATACAATGTTCTGTGTTCAATTATCTATCACAGCTGAATGAGTATTAATATTAACATCAGAATCTGTTGACTCTGATGTTGAATCTGATGTAGAAAGATGCTCATTATTTTTCTTCTCTATTTTTTCAGAGCTTTGAGCATTTTCTTCAGAATTAAAAACATCAATATCTGCATCTATAATCTCTTTCAATTGATTGATAGAAGTCATTGATGATTCTTGAACTTTTATATGTAGAAGCTTCATCTTCTTAGATACTCAATCTCTTAGTTATCTTTCAATGTAGAAGTCTTCTGAGTTGAATTTTCTATTCTCATCAAACATCACATCTCTTACTCTTATTATCTGTTCTAAGTGTGGAATTCAAATTCAATAGATGTTTGTAGAATCATATTTAACTAGATATTCAATATATGCTCAGAGATCTAGCTTCTGAGAGTGATTTCTATTGAGAACTTCATTTAGTATCTTTGTATAGGTGTGACATTCATAGATTTGAAGATGAGTACAGAAGTGAGATTTGATTTGTAGAAATTCTTTCAATACTTATAGAGATGACTTTCAATCTAGAATTCTAGTAGAGATTTAATTCACTAGATAGATGACAGTAAGTGTGATCTCAGAGAAAAGTGATTGTGACAGAAGAGATTCTATCTGTAGAGTTCTTATCTTTGTTATTAATATTGCTTCTGCTCACTCTGCTGCATTATTTTACTCATGAATATACTCTGAAGAATACTTCATCTCTAGATCTTCATTATTTACTTAATTTATGAAGTCATCTGCTTTCTTGACTGCAGTATCATTATCAATAAAAATGATCTTTATAGTACAGTTGAATTGATGTTTAATTCAATTGATAGCTTATCTAAGAGCTTTTCAGATTTCTGATTTTCAAATAGCTGTTATAGCTATATGAAAATGTAGATAATCACACATGAAATGTATAAGATAACACTCATCATTATAGCACTGTGTAGAGCCATGTGTGATATCTGTATATAGGCATTTGAATGATATTTGAGATCTAACATGAGAATATCTAGATATTTGATTTTTTGCATTAGATAGATGACAGGGTTTGCAAAGCTCAGTGATAAGCTCATTCACAGTATCTTCTAGATTAGTGATTTGAATGTCAGTTGCATCATTTATAAGCTTTTAAATGATGATTTACAATGAATGTTCTAATCTCTTATACCATGTAGACTGAGTAGCTATAGAGATCTTAGATTTTTGAGAAGGTTTTATGTGTATTAGCAGGTTGAAAGAATGATTTATTGAAGTGTGTTTTAACAGATTAGAAGAAGGATTTGTAGAAGTTGAAGAATTTGAAGATATCATTTTTTCAGATATAGTAATGTTAGAAGTGTGTGATGTGATAGCTGCTGCAGCTTTGATAGTTGATTTTTTCAAGATAGTTGAATAAACAGCTGTTTCACTATTATATTCTGTAACTAGCAATCTCTCAAATACTTCAATGTATGCAAAGATTGTATTATCTGCATGTTTTTGCAATCTGAAGTCTTTTTCATCATAATGAATGCCTTCTATATGGAAACATGGTTTCCATGTGATGATATTTGTATGAAAATTCAGTATATAAGCTGCATTGATGAGATTGATATTGAACTGCTTTCCTGCTTCATTTATCATGATAGTTCTAACAGTTTCATAATCTTCAACTTTAGTGCTGAAATCGCCTGTATAGACTTCTGCATTATTGTTCACAGATGTAAAGAATAGAAAATGTGTTCAATTATTGTATATATGCTGTTCCGCGCCAGTATCAAAGATCCAGGAGTTTTGAAGATAGAAGTGTGAATTTGAAGAGTTCATTGATATTTTCCAGATCTGCTGATCAATAGATTGATGATTAATAGATTGATAATTAATAGATTAATGGTCAATAGATTGAGAAACTGATTACTTCAGAATTATTTCTTCTAGAACTGCTTCATTGACATCTATCATATCTGTATTCATGAATGATTCTCTAGATATCGCACAATCAATACATCTCTTCAATTCTTGATTTTTAAGAGCTTGATTGATCTGAGTTCTCTTCTTCTCATTTTCCTTTTATTCAGATGACTTTCTTGATGAATTGAGACAGTAGCACTAAGTGTATCAGTGACAGGCTCTGCAGATGCAGTTTCTGAATGTCACTGATGATAATTACTGAGATCTTTCATTAAGAGTAGTGAAGTTCATAGGTTTATCTTCTTTAAGAACACTCATTTCTCTATATCATTTCTTAAAGTTCTTAACTAACTCTATCAAAGATATGACATCTTTATCACATTGAACATTCTTAGCTTATGCTTGTGTATAAACTGCATCAATAGCTAGATTTGCATTTAAGAAGTCTTTTCTCAAGTTGAACTGTTCAGCTATATCCATCTCTTTGATATCATCATTGATGAGTGATCAGTCATTTAATCACTTCTCTATACCTCTGTTTTTCAGTGCTTTGCAGAGATTATGATATCAGGTTCTCACATCATCTTGATAGTCCGCGGTTGTGAGAGAGAGACAATCTCTTAATGAACAGATAATGTTCTTTATATCATCATTCTCACTATATATATGTCATAGCTCTGTGACATTCACTGTTCTTCATATGACATCTCATATCTTTGTCATACCTTCATTCAATTTCTTATATTTCATATATTTGATTTTCCATGCAGTGACCTTGATGTCATATACTATCTTGGCCTTCATGGTGACTTCTTCTGAACACTCAGGTTTCAGAGGTTCTTCTAGTTCAGAGAAGATATCAGGTTTATCAAGATTGATGAAGTCTGATATCTTCTTATCCTTTGTATATTCTAGTATATGCTTGTATCAAAGTTTCTAATCTTCAGAAACACTAAGATGTACAGTTACACTAGACATTGTCTTGTCTGTCATATCAGTTATATTGAATGAATTGAGAAATCAGTTCAAGTATTTGAGAATAGATATGATCAGAATTCAGAGTGTATAACAGTCAAGTATATCAGAATGTATATAAGTGAGAATCTATTATCTCAGTTCAAATGATAGTTATCAGTTCAAATGAGAATTGAGATTGTGAATTGAGTATAACAGTTGAGTAGATCATACTGTATACAAATGAGAATCAATTATCTCAGTTCAAATGATTGTTGTCAAATTCAAATAAGAATTGAGATTGATATATCATACTTCTCTTCAGATGCTGCTTACTGAGTTCATAACTGTCGAAATGAGTGTCATGAATGAATATGTTGAAGATATATAAATCTTATATGTATCAAGATCTGCTTGTTATATTATTCATACACTATCTAATATATCTATTTCATACAAAAGATAGAGCTATTTATAGTAAAATATATGTGCGAGTCAAGAGAGCTAGTATAAGTGAGTATTAGACAAGTGTTGTAGTAAGCTGATGATGATGAGAAATATTGTAGTAATATGATGTTGATGGCGTTCAGTAGTGTATAACCTCTTTTTCCTGATAATAAGTCATATTCTATAATCTTCTAATAATGTATCTTTTCAGCAGTATAAGTATTATTATATAAAGACAGTTAATGAGACTGCTTACTACAGATATAAGTAGTATAATAACAGATAATTTCTTACTAATCTGAAGAGTATCTGACTGTAAGCATTTAAATCTGATACTGTGAGAGCTGGCTTTATCAACTGTGAAATGTATTCAGTTAATTATAATATAATTCTCAATTGATTAAGATCTCTTATTATTGATAATACTCTGAATCTCAATATATACAATAGTGATGATAATATATATAATCACTTTACTCTATCATCTGCAGATCAACTGTTAACTGTCTTCTTATAATTAATCTTCTCAGAAACAGTTACAAAACTATATCATTAAATTAATACAGCAGTCAAGATCTTAGAAGATGTGAAGAATACTCTTATATCTGATTTAATAAGACAGTTGAACAAGATCTTCAAGAGTAGTATAATTCAGATGAAATTAAATACACACTGTGAGAGTAAACTTGTAGATTATTATTAAGTAAATAGATATTAGATCATTAAATTCTTCTACAGACAGATACAAGTAGATAAAGTTCTTACTATTAAGAATGCTATTCACAAGATCATAATCTGTAAAGCAGATGAGATGAAAAAGACATGTAATAAGACTCTTTAATTAATTGAAATCAAATCTATAAAATCTACAGCTACTCAATCATAATAAGATAATTCTATAGAATTTTAACTTACAGTGAATTCTACATCTTTTAATGAGTATATAGATAATCTTTATATTATAGATAGATATGATAATGATTATTAATTAATTTTTAAAGATTACTATATTCAAAATATTTTCTTTATAATGTGGTTTTTCATATGCTGTGACACACTCACTACAGAGAGTGAGTAAGCATGGCACAGTTAGTTGTTATTAGGGATTTTTAATCCCTTTACGTCCAAAGTATGTTGAGTATTGTTGATGAAATTCTCGTGTGCCGGCGCTATTTATCTTAGAATATATACGTACTATAGTGTTAAGATGATACCCGCGAGAATCAACAATAAATGATGATGATGAGGATGAATTCTTTAACATCTGAAGGCCGTAAGCGGCTGACTAATCAGACCACCTCAATTACAAAACTGTAGAATAGTTGAAGGTTGTATTGATAGATCTATCTACAAGAACATAATATAGTGATAGGTCACGTGATCTAGTGGAATCGCTAACCGCAACGGCTGTAACACCTTCTCTCAAGAAACAAGAATTATATATAAAAACACTCAATTCATCAAGATAGTCTGTGAAAATTAAATACAAATGTATAATTAAGCATTTCTGACTTTTCTGCCTCTAAGACCTAGCAAAATCATAAATCATGTAAATATCACAGTGTTCAGAGATTTAATAAGTTCATTTATTATTATCTAAGTAATAAGAATATATTTCAAATCAATAATTTTCTGATTCAACTGTTAATATAAAAAATGAAAACATGTGTTAATATACTTACTTTAGACTGTAATAACTATCATCTTTGTAAGATCTATGATATTCTTATTATCAGTGAGAATCTATATCAGAGATGTAGTAATAAAGTCAAGCTCAATCATAAGATTTCAGATTTGTATTACTTTATAAACTGTCTCACTAAGAGTTATATATTTAGTCTTATTAAAACTTAAAGATATAAAAGATTACTTCACTGATTATTATGAAATCAGACTGTCTATAAGCTTAAAAACATAGTTAGATATTAATTTTCTATTATTATTTAAGAGATCTACTCAATTAGAAGCTGAGTAGCTAAAGAGTAAGTAGAAATTATTGAGAAAATCAGAGAAAATGAATCTCTTATACTGATTACATTTATAGAAAATGCTTAAATTCATGATCTCTCTTAAATAATATATAATATATAACTAGACTGACCGTGTGACCGTGTCTGAGACCAGGACCAGATTTTTTGATAGTCTCATTATTAATTTGACTGATTTCATTACACAGTTTTAACATTAGATAGTAGTTTCATACTGTTTCAGTGAGACTTACTGTCTACTCTTATCACATATTTCAAATGAGATCATGATTTTCACTTCTCAATTTAAATTATTTTTATTGCTTTAAATAACTTTAAATCTCATTTGAGTGTTATCAAAAAGCATTACTTTTTAAAAAATTAAAAATAGTCTAAAAAAAACCTTAAAATGTCTAAAAATAGTAACTTTATGTCAAGAATGAAACTAAATAAGATCAAATGAAACCACTTTCTCATTTTTTTCAAGTCATGATTTCATTTTAAGATCTGATATATAGTCACTTTGCATGTTTTTTTGATGACTAGTCTCAGCGGGATTCATGCCAAGAAATATATGAGATCAGATCAAATGAAATCAAATGTGAAATTCATAATTCTGACGGCCAGTCTATATATAACAGAGTCTTTCAATATTGAAATATTAAATTAATATTCTGTTAAGTAAGTAGTGAGACAGTATAAATAATATCAGAATATGTTTTAACTGTAAGATATTATAAGCAGCTCATATTATATTAATACTACTGAATTATAAAATCAGTCTCTTTCTCAGATATTGAGAAATTATTAATATAGAATTCATTCTTCATCAGTGTTTTAATAATAACTGTATTATCAAGATAGAAATCTTTAATAAGATATTTAATATATTGATAATATATCAAATCAATTTCTCTGTCAGAATAATTAACTTTTATACTTAAATACTTAGTTAATTAATATAGATTCTTGACTTTCAATTTCTCACTGAGTATACTTACTAGTTAATCAGCATTCTCAGAAACTTTAGATATAATATTAAGATTATTAATATAGATTATTATATAGAAGTGATATCTGAATATATAATATCAGAGTACTAAATTATAGACACTGACGGCAAATTCAAGATTACTTAACAGAGCTGTTAAGTAATTATATCAGATCTTCACTGCAGAGTTCAGACTGTATAAACTATTCTTAACTATGTAAATAAGTGTTTTCAGTAAATCTGTCTTAAATTCAGTGAGTTGTCTTACATAGACCTTCTTAGTGAGTTACTTATATTATAACAGGCCTACGCTAAATAGATCAGTATAATATATAGATCTTATATAACAAAGTGAAAAACATTAGAGAAGAAAAGAAAGAGAAAGTATAGAAATCAGTAATCAGAGTGAATATTTATACATGTACATAATAATGTATGTGATGAAACTTCGAGGTGAAAGAATAGAAATTCTGTAGGTTTTCAGCTGAGAATCAGTGACCGAGAATCAGAGTGATAGAAATCTGTAAAGTGTAATGAAATAGTCTATATAATTGATCAGATACAGCTTATTACATTAGTTTCTTACTTTCTTCTTAATTATACATAGCTCTCATCAGTCAAGGGCCGCGGTCTTGAATAATGTGAAACTCAGAGTCTAGATCAGGTAATTATAGCTGACTTATTTTATAAGATATTATCAGCTGAAGTTATGAAGTCTCTTATTCTGAATATCTTTAATCTCTTATTCAAGTTCATTATCTTCTTCTATAATCTCTGATGACTGTCAGTTGAAAGTCAGTTGAGAAAAGAACAGATTGATGACAGTGTGATAAAGTAAGCTTGTATGAAAGATATCATGAATTTCTGATAATATGTTAAGACAGTAGTTATAACTGTCTAGAACTTCTATCACTTTATACTTTATATAATGATAATTCAGTGTGTGAGATGAGTATGTAATCTGTATATTCTTAAGATTCAATTATACTAGATCTTCTATCTTATATTACTTAATAAGGTCTCAGTGAACATTAATTCACTCTTTCTAATTCTATTTAGTACTTACTATGAAGACTTCTACTCAATTATAAGAATTTCAGAGTTTTATTACTATATTATTAATAATTTGAATCAGACTGTGAGAGTTCAGTGTGAAATGTATGATCTCTAGAAGATTCAGTACTTTTATATAATATTTATATATAAGAAAGAATGAGCTTACATCTGATAAAATAACATCTCAGTCATTGATAGTGACTTCAGTATGTAGAAGAAGATTATATTAATTATCTTATAAGTAATTACAGAACTTATAAAGATAATTCTTTATAGTCTGAATTATCTGTTCTGATGTATTATTAATCTCAGAGTGATAGACAGTTGATAAACAGTGTATAATCTTGAGAACTTAACAGATTCTTGTTCAGAAAGTACTTATGAATTTATAGTCTTAATCTGATACTATAGATCTCAGTAATTCATGCATATGATAAAATAAGCTTCTTAGAAAAGCTTCAGTAACTTGTTCAGTATTCATCTTATTACAAGATTTCAATATTACACTCTTACTTAATTGATTCATAATGATCAGAACATTTCTATAACTCTTACTCTTAGAGAGATTAATAGCAAAGTTAATTATCACATTTCATCAGATTCTATTAGAGATATTAAGCAGTTTCAGCAGGCCTTTTCTACAGTTCTTTTATGAGATGATAGAGAAACAATGATTACAGTTTTAGATAAAATATCTGATGCTGTTTAATATCTCAGATCAGTAGAACTCTTAAGAGATTATTTAATATAGTTATTTACAATCTGAATAACTAGTTATATAAGAGTTATGCATCTCTTATATTATCTGAGTATGTAAGAATTCACAGTGAGAAAGATTAGCTTCTGTTCAAATTTATAATTCGAAGCTTGAAGAGATCAGACAACAATGATTTAAAGAGAAAATA